CTTCACGCCACCTGTAGCAGTATGCCACTGGGCTGACAGAATCTTTTATATATATATATATATATATTCTAAACTTCACATCCCTTCAAATTACAAAAGTTCAAGATATAGAGAGTTGGGAAGGGTGGATTTATTAAATTTATTTTCTATTTTTTAAAAAAAGTTACTTTTGTGGGACAAATTTGTAAAAATTACTCAAGACAAAAGGTATTTTTATCATCTTCATAAAAGGGTAAAATGGAAATTTTAACTAAAGGACAGGGGCTCTCTACAAATAAAATTTCAAGACACTAACTTCTTAAATGTCATTGTACTTTTGTGAAAATTTTAAAGTTGTCATTGCTTAATGGTAAAGTTACCCATTTAAATAATTTTTTAATAAAAAAATAATGATTTTTTAATAAATATACCCCTCACAACCCCTTCTAACTTGAACTTTTGTATTTTGAGGGATTGTTAATTCTAAAAAAGCTTATATATATATATATATAAGAAAAGTTTTCCTATTGTCAATAGGTGAAAATGAATAGTACTTTCGCCTACCCTCATCACCGTCCAAATTTTATCGTGTGGTCACGATTGTCTGGTAGTATTTTATTTTTAATTTTTTTTTACAAATTAGCATGGCCTAAAATTTGGAGTGTATGTACATCTTACTGAGGCGCATCTAATAAAAATATAAAAAAAATTATCCATAAAACAAAATTGACCAAAATACCCCTAAAACTCTTTGGGAGTATTTTGGTCAATATTTTTCCTCTAAAATATTGTTTTTATATTTTTCAAAGATTCTTCTATTTTTTATGAATACACGATCTAAATTTTACGTCATTTTGATATGTAGAAAAAAAATAAAAAATAAAATACTACCTGACAATTGTGACCGTACGATGAAATTTGGACGATGATAGGGGGTAAACAAAATCACTGTTCATTTTCACCTATAGGCGTTGCGTAGTGTTTTTCATTATTGAAGTATCTCCAATATTTAAGTTTCTATTGTTCTTGGTGACCTATCTGATGTCTCAAGAGTTGTTTTACTTGTTAGTCCCTGTAGTTATTCAGCTTCTGACATTCCCATGATAAGGATTTTAAGTGTTACTTTATTTTGATATTTTTTCAGTTCTTGCCTTAGTATGAATGTTGTTATTACTTATGAAACAATGCTACAATGTACTACTTTGTTAATATAATGGGTGTATCTTTTTATTTATTTTTATGTTTTTTGGTTCTTGGAATCTATAAACTTATTCTTTTGGCTCTTTTTTTGAGTCTAGTATCTTGAACTTATATGAATTTGGTATCTCGAACTTGTATGCATCTGCATAGCTTCTATTTGAGAATAATCTGTGGTGGGATTGACTCACTTTGAATGAATTCGTATTAAATGGAAGGTACACCTAAATTTAGGATTGAATTAAGAGAGAGAGGAAAATTCGTATTAAATGGAACGTACACCTAAATTTAGGATTGAATTAAGAGAGAAAAAAAAATCGAACCAAAACGTTGAGAGAGAGGGTGGAAAAACAATCGAGGAGAGAGAAAAAGATGGGGAACCAAAACGTTGAGAGAGAGTGGACAAACAATCGAGGAGAGAGAAAAGATGGGAAACCAAAACGTTGAGAGAAAGGGTAGAAAAATGAAATTGAGAAGAGAGAAAAAAAGATGGGAATTAGCAAATTAAATCGATGAGAGAGAGAAAAAGATGGCGTCAGGCTTCCCATTAAATGCTACATGTCAGGCATATTTATTTGGCCATCCAATCTTATCCCATTTAATCCATGACGTTAGGCACACTTGCATGGGATGAGCGAGTGGGCTAATCCCATC